TGTTCTATAGGGCTATAACAGGTTCTTATCATTTTAATTAATTTACAAGAAGCCAAGAGACATAAACACCATGCAAATTACATTCACTTGTGTGGGAAGCACCTAGGGAGCTTCTGGGTTGAAAGGATGAGCCAGTGACATCACTATTGCCTGGAGGATGCCCAGATGGCATCTCCTTTCATGACCCCATTAATGTGCCCACCAAAGTATCTATCAATCTACTTGTGACTGCTAGGTGGGTTGGAGCTGGAGCTCACACGGCACATAGCGGCACTCAAATGCAGGCTTTCTGATTGTCAACTATGCACCAAAACTACTGAGCCACTGTGATCTTCTAGTAAATTCCATTGATCATATATATTAGGACAGGGGTCAGCAACCTTAAACACTCAAAGAGCTACAAAGGTCCTAACCAGAAGCTCGCTGTGTTAGCTGACACCCTGTTCAATTCTGGAGCCAACCGGAAGTACAGTTCCCTCACCATAGAGTCTCCTTCTAGTGCGGCATCCTTTTTCCTTTACCTGTCCTAACCGAAAGCCCTATCAATTGTGAAGCCGACTGATGACAGGAGCCGCAGCAGAGGGATGAAAGAGCCACATGCGGCTCCAGAGCCGCGGGTTCCTGATCCCTGTGTTAGGATTTTTAATAAGGATTTCTAAACAGGTCATCTTTCCCCCTCCCCTCTCTCCATCTATGAGGCTCTTGTAAATACTGGGTACAAGTAAAGGTGTGCCTTTTTTTTGGAATTGGAAAAGTTTCTACTTCAGAATGCCTCCAGTTAGGACTTTAACTTTTAGAGGTTTTACAGATTTCTCAGAGTTCTTCGTCTGCTGGTTGCCCTGCTTTAATTTTTCCCAGAATTTTAACTGATGTAGATTTGTTTTTAAAAAATTAACACAAGAAATATTATATATCCAGCTTTCAAATAAATGTTCACTCGATTGAAATGAGAATATCCATCCCACAGGGATTTCCTGATACGTGAATGGATAGCAGAATCCCAATGATAGTATTAAAGTTAATTGAACTTAAAAGAAGGCGTTTCTGTGTGCATAAAAATAAACAAACAGGCAGTCTTTAATAAGGACTTGAATCGCTCTGACTGAATTGTTCTCAAAGACTCCCAAAATCCCCTTGACAAATCTGTGGATCCCAGCAGGCGTGGCAAAAATTCCCAGAAGGATCCTTACCTTTCCTCTTTTTCTTTTTGTCTTTTAATGATCCTGAATCCCTTGCATCATGGTGGAATTAGGGCGACTGAATGGAGCTGAGTGCTTACTGGCCAGATGCCTTTCCTGTCGCCAATGCGGAGTTTGCAGCCGATACAGTATATTCTCATTGTGCCCAGAGGATCGAACTCACGGCCTCCTGATCGTGGGCTGAGAGCTCCACCTCTAGGCCACCGCACCACTCCCTTACCTTTCCTATCTGGAGAAGATAAAGATCCAGGAAATCCTTTGGCTGACGCAGGGCCAAATCTTGGCTGTGTTTTTCTGCCTCTTCCTTTATAATGGATTTCCCTGTCTGGATGGATGCTTCTATCTTCTGATGAGGTCCTGGGATGTTTCACTAGCCATGGAAACAATTCATAGAGCTGCAGGAGAAGGAAAAAACGAAACCCTACCAGTTCTCTGATGAGTTAGATAATGTAGGTAGTCCTTGACTTACAACAGTTCATTTAAAGCTAGAATGGCATGAAAAAAACTTCAGCTGACTGTTATCTGCAGTTCAGCGGTTCTAATCTCACCGGCTCAAGCTTGACTCAGCCTTCCATCCTTCCGAGGTGGGTGAAATGAGG